CAAAACTGGATAATTTATTGTTTTGAAGACTATTATAAAGTCTAAGAAAGAAATAATAAAACACAAAAAAGTCGAAAGACAAACCCATAACAAAAACAATTTGATTTTTGAGAAAAGGACACAACCAAAGGAACATAAGAAAGACCAACATAAACCCAACATAAAACGTTATCACATAACAGGACCTCTCAAAGAAACCGCACGAAATCATACTCCCACTCCTGGCCTAACCCACCAGAGAGGACGTCCTGAGCATGCTCTATAGCCGGCCTAACCCACCGTGCTACATCCACGCTTTGTGACCACACTTCTATTTTTAATAAGAGGTACTCAAGGGTGAGTAACTCTTCAAAATAACCGAACTAAAACAAAATGCTTTTGTGAAAACAACTAACTAAATTCATAATTAAAAAACTGAACTAATAAAAATTTTATACAATGTAAATTATACCTTGCAGTATATAGATCAGCACACAACAAAAAATACGAACATCCAAAGACAAAATGACCCCACTACACTCGAACAAGAATGGCTAACCACAACCGATATGCCGTCCACAATCACAACTCAAAGGATTTAGAGTACGACTTGACTTCGCAGAAAAGGACTTCATTGAACTAGACCAATGACCACCTCGATGTTCAAGTATACGTACAGATCCGAGTTACAAGGCATCCCCTCTACGCACAATCTCCACGCCATTCCCAGAAGAGGTTGAACACAAAAAAAGTTCTCTACATAATACAGAAAAACCCGTCATAGCAAACCATTTTGAAATCAGATTGATTTCGTTGGGAAACACAGTCGTTGTCACAAGAAGACACAACGATTAATGCCCCAAACTCCAGCGTCCTGGAACTTCTCTAACAAGAGGAACCGGACAAGAATACGATGTTCGCCCAATACCAACGTTCATCATCCATCCTTTGAATTGCAGAAAGATAATTCTAAAAAACTCTGTAAAACCCGGATGGGTGGAACCTGATACAAACTACATTTTATGATTGGATAAATTAGATATTTTACCACTGTAAAGTATTTAATATTAACCGATCATGATCCATCTAACTAACAACCCACTTATTTGTAAGTGCTGAAATTACTTGTAATTTCAGCACCAGAGATTTGAATTTAACTTAGAAATTAGTTGCCTCTCCAAGAGAACTTCAGTAGCCGCAACAAACCAGTATACCCTAGATCTATTGAGCCTAGCAGAGACTAGTTAAACACCCTGAGACTAGAAAGTATAAGAGTAAGATTAGGATCGGTATTAGACTAAGAAATTGCACGAATCTATCCGGCCGAAAATAAGATAGCGTGACGAGCAGGCCGAAAATAAGATAGCGTGACGAGCAGACGGTGTACCCTATCCGAAATTACTCTATGAGTTAACCACATCGGTCCTAACTCAAAACATTGACATTTATCTAATGCTTGACAAAATAACAGATTTGACCGAAAGACATAAGAGCTGAACAAAATGACGAAGCGATTCACTTATTTTAAACAAGTTGTTCACATGAAAATAGTCAATGGATCGATTTGATAACGCTTGTTAATCACATGCGTAATCAAACTAACTAACCTAAATTGGAAAAAAGAGTCTAAAAATAATTTAACTAGATGGGAAATCTGAAAAATGAATTCATTTCGAAATTGTTGAGCATCAATGGCTTTCCCTTCAAATTTTATTGAATTTACAAATGAATCTAAAATATAAAAACTTAGCATGAACCATTTTACCTCGTTTATAATTTCTAATATTTGCCAATCTTTTAGCAAGTTGCTAACGGGGAAAAATCTTGTACCCGATAATAATACCCTTGCTAATCGCAAGTGTTAACCACGATAGCCGGCTACTGTGCAAGAAGCACAGCAGGTTCAGACCAAAGTCATTTCAAAAGAAAAATTTTAAAAAATGAAGGAAAAAAATTTATATAAAACAAACGTTTTTGCACGAGAGGCTAAGGAGAACATAAAAAAAGCAGCTTCATGAAGTGAAATAAAAAAGAGAAATCAGCTTCGAATTAGTAAAATTTACTACGTATCGGATTCGAGCCTGCGACCTCCAGATTCGGAGCCTCACACTCTGCCCTCTCGGCCACGAACGCTTAACAATCGTCAAACACTAGTCACAAATAAAGCAGCTACATATGCTAATAAATTGCCAATGCTACGCAGCAAAAGGGGCACCAAACTCAAATATACAAAATTTTGCATGTTATAATTTGGAATATAACAATCTGAAAAAACCCACACGAACTTTGCAATTAAAAGATTGGAAAAGTTAAAGCCACATTCTGTATAAACTACGCATTTCACAAACTTGCGAAATACATTGAATAAGAAAAATTCTGAAATCCAGTTCTTATTAGTGTTGTTTTTTTTTAAACAAATAGCTTTTTTTGGTTCATATGAAGATTTAAAAAGGCATCAACTGTGTTAACTTATTAGTATTGGAATTTCAAAGCACATACTATTAAAAAGCCGTACGCTGCCACTAAAAAGGGAACCAATATTTGCGACTTAGTTTAGAAAAAAATTAGTCGCACTCTAAAGTTCGTTTGTTTAAATATTTTAAATTACTGTAATTTTATTTCGAGAAAGGGTGATTGAATTAGATTCAAAAATGCAAGTTGAATTAGATTACAACAATGCTAGGAAACGCTGTAATAGCAGACAAAATAAGGTTACAACAGTAGCAAAATATTTGTGAGATATACTCAAAGGGATAGCTGAGCTACTCGCACCACTTTTAAGACACTGAAGAGCTAACAAAAAGGACTTCGAAGGATGTTACCCTTAAAAAATAACTAGAAAATCGAAAAAAAAAGAAATGTTTTTGTCCGAGCATTGAAAATGGGGAGGAACTTTGGATTCGGGTTTGCTTTCATTTTTTTCCACGCAAAAACAGCTACCACAAATAATCGACGAACAAAGTTGAGTAATATATCATATTAAAGCCCCTTCAGTCGTGATTTGAACATTTAAAAATTTCTAACAAAATTTTAGTGTCGAGAAAAACCGGTTTGAAATGTTTGAGCTTTGGTCTGATTTCGAGCTAATTAGTATGATAGTTAGTAATTACAATAGCTCATTTGAGTTTAATTTAAGCCGTGAAAACTTAGTTTAATCTGGTAAAGGTAGTTTTTAGCGCAATTTCGGAAATCAAAAATTTGAAATTTCAAAAAATTTCCGCAAAAAATTTAGATATTTTTTTCAAGTTTTTTTTTCGTTTTTTGAGTCATTTTTCTTCAAAAACTGTTTTCCAGAATTATTTACTATGACTCTCAAATATGCCTAAATTCTTTTTTTTTTCGTGCAGATATTTTCATCACAACGCGCAGAAAAAAAACGACACCTATTTGAGAAAACATTTAAGTAATTTTTAAGACTGTGGTCGGAGCAGTCTGTGCTACTTGTACAGTAACTGGCTATCCTTGTTCATGTTTATACTTACTGAAGTTTTTAGAGATAAGTCTAAATGTGTTTATAGTAAGCAGTCGAACAATGGGCCAGTCTTCTCAATTTCCTAAATGATATCGGTAATTTGTAAGAAACAAAATAGTAGGTAAATAAGCCGACGGATTGAAATCCGACAGCCGAAAAACTGAAACTCAATCGATATGTTTCGGCAAATTCTAATCGACAAAAAACGTACTGCCACAATAGTATCCACGAGTGATATATATGTACTGAATATCAGGTGGTATTTAACATTCGGAAACTAAACAGAGAGCCTAATCAACAACCAACATAAAGCAGAAACTTATAATTCGGAAACTAGACAGAGAGCCTAATCAACAACATAAAGCAGAAACTTATAACTTAAAGCAGAAAATCAAAATTTATACATATAATTAGATCTATCGAAAACTTGCCCAGATTATAGAATGCGAAATTGGTCCGGATGAAAATTTACCTAGCGATAACCAAGTCGAAAAAATAAGATTTGAAGCTAATAAAAAGTTAAAGTCCACCTCTCCCTCAAAAAAACCCACGCACACTGAAAACTTTTCAAACGCCGCAATCTGAGGCCACTAAGTCAATATAAAATAGGCCAAAACCAATTAAAACGAAAAAGAAAAAAACATAAAATTAAATTTGAACGAATCGAGTTGGTAAAATTACAACCAACATAAAATGCAAATTTCAACAACGACGGATATTTGAAATTCTAACCTTTTAAAAAATTGGATATGGCTAGAGCATCCTGTTTACTGAAAGCATAAACTTTGCAATAAAATAGGCAACTTTAATTGGAAAAAATTGACTGATCAATGACCATTTTTAAAAACAACATGATGAAAATGATGGTTTGTTACACATTCATGTCGAGGCCCAATTTGCCGTCTGTTCACCAATTTAATTTGAATTGAAATTAAAAAGAATGCAAATGTGAAAACGCAAAAAATATAGCCAACAGACAGTTAGAAAAGAATCAATGAACGCAAAGAAACAAAAAAAACTGACTTAGTTTTTGAAAAAGCGTCAAGTTGCAAACTTCTCAGACAAAATGTACGGCTTTAAAGCTCTTTGAATTCCAAGAACAGTTTATGACACATTTTTTGATAAAATCAACGCAATTTGAGGAAACTCGATCAATATGTAAAATTTTTATTTCGCTGGAAAATCTGATTATTAAATTCCATTTTGGAAATTAAAATTCGATCACGTTTTTTGTGATTTTTACACTTTTGCTGCTCGATAGTGGAGTTTGCCTTCCTTTTAACAAGGAAAAAAAAACAAATTTGAGCATGAACGAGTTTTTCCTGAAAAACCAACAAACAAAAATAATCACCAAGAGGTATATAAAAGTCTTCACTACCTTCATCGATTTAAAAAATAAATTGAGCGTGATGAAAATTTAAGACATTCCTGAAAACCGCACGACCTAAGTTAGTGTCGACACTTCGTTTCCTTGTCATTTAAAAAACACCAGTTTATAAATTTTAGGTGTTTTTCTCTGGATAAAACAAGCTATCTTATCGAAAAACTCTTTTCGTAACAAAATTAACTTCTATTCTAGCAAAAATAGATATATTTGGAAGATGAATCAACGAACAGAGAAACTGACAAAACATAGGCCGTTTCGGCATAATAATGACACCATTCCTTGCCAATATTCATTTCTTGTTGCCTCTCTTTCTCTGCTGGCGATTTTGTTTCTTGCTCTTTCCCTGGAATAGGGCCACGTGTCTGGGGTGAACTTGGATGAGGGATGATTTGCGGATAATTTCTGCCGTGGAGTCTGAGGAGAAGATCTGAGTGACTTTTTCCTTGTCAATAGGAAACATCTTCAAAATACTCTCGCAACAGCACTGTTGAAGCTTTCTTGATAGCACTGTAAATAAAACATCAAAATTTGAACATCATATCGGACACAGAGCCAACAGACGATTAAAAACGGATCCATGAAAACCGAAAAAAAAACGACTGCTTAATCAAGAAATGTTTTTTTTTTAATATTTGGCCTGAAAGCTCTAAGATTGACACTTTAATGATAAACAAACCAACCCAATTTGAAAACTCAGCAGGTAATTCTTTAATATTCCGCTGGTAAATGAGAAACTGGATTTCTTTAACTTTTCCCCCTTTTGCAAGGGGAGAAAGATTCGTTACCAGGTACTAAATTCACGTATGCTTAACAATTGAAGTATTTCTGTATAGGGGTGGTACCCTAGGGGGGAAGCCTTAAAAGTAAAATCCATTTTCGACACATAAATACGACTGCATAAAAAATGGTGTTTTTCTTCAGTATATGATGAGACAATGCCGATTGAACTTATTTTGGGCATGTTTTTTGTTTTTAAAATAGTTGGTTTTTCGCCATACATATGTACAGATTTATTATTTCGCACTACATTTTTTTCCTTAGAAAATTCTGGGAGCGCCACTCGTAGTAGAATCTAGTAGCACCCCTATAAGATCTTTAAGCCAATTCTTCTGTCCCCTGTGTATCATTTAAACAGCTACTCTATTAGCTTTATACTGTTACTCGTTTTAATTTACAGAATGGCCATGATTAAAAAATGAAGTTGAGCAATATTTTTTGGTTCATTTAGTCGCACAAAGATACTTTTACCTTGTTCTAACTCTGAGTGATATATTTTCTCACGAGTGACATTGAGTGTTTCGATCACGGCAGGCAATAATACTTCGCCTATCCTCATCTCTCTTCTGATTTCTGCTCCACTCTCAATTTGAGAACTCAGATATGGCAGCGCTATTTCACCTACAACAAAAGTAGATCAATTTTCATTTTCTGCAGAAAGGGAATCTTATCAAAAAGTTAATCTGATATCATGATTCTAAATTATTTGAGTATGCTAGGGCTCGTATTAGCTAGCAAACTTGTCTCTTCTGCCGTTTCCTCCATCAAATATAAACACCAACTTTACAAGAAAACCATTGAATTTACAAGATAGTATATGAAGACAAAATATGCTTTTTATTGTTTAGATTATCCACTTGCTAGTTTTTATTACAACTGGACAAAAAAAACATAACAATGCAAAAATTCCTTGTGTGTGTGCGTGTGTGTGGGTGTCTGTATGGGTTAGAAGAGCCGCTAACTTACGATGATTCTGATAGACGACTGAGCCAATAACAGGCATTCTTGACACATGCAATACTCTTCTTGTCGATGACATTTAAATGTCGATGACATTGAAAACGACAGCAGAGGTTGCACTGACGTTGAGAATGACGTAAGAGAAGGAAAGACAACTTCTCTCAAGATAACATCCTGTTCTTCCGATGAACATTCCAGAAACAAAAGAGTACATGCTTTCACACAACTGAACATGAACTCAGTCCAGTTTTCATTCTCGCGGGTTACAACTTTGTTTTTACTTGTACAGAGAACATTATCAGTAGCTCCTTCTTTAGTTATATCATCAATAGATTGTTGTAGATTTGAGTCAAATAGCAATTGAGAGGTACTAGAACTTAGAAAGTCAACGTTAAACAGGTACTCCAAGGCCATTTGGTTGACCATTTGGAAAGGAGTGGAATCACAAGTGAAATCTAGTCCCGCGAACATCTGTCTTCGTTTCTTTTTATTCACATCATCTTCAGTTGTTTCGGTTCCATCATCTTCAGTTTGCCATCTTTGACATAGAACGCACTGCATTGCAGACACGAGCACCTTGGATAAAACACACATTCATTTTACAAAAAAATTCATCTGATTTTATCGGAAATTAGCAAAACTGAAATCATTCCTATAAATAAGGCACTTAGCATAATGGTAAGGCGTTCATTTCGAGATCTTCAGATCGTGAAATTGATCCCCTGCCATGGCAATGACCTCTAGCTTCAGGTCTACCACAGCTTGATCTATTTCAGCTGCAAAAGTTCTAGATGCGTGAAAGTACCACGTGAAAGTTCCAGACGCAAAAAAACGACCTTGCGTCGCAAACAAAGAGCGCTTCGCTCAACAAAATACCTCAGTCTGGAATGTGGAGAAATAGGAGAAATGGACTATGCTTAGACAGGCTGAACAACCTTTCATAGATCCTGAGCGAATCGCCGAAACCACAATTATTATTAATATTATCATTTTTAATATTTCGTATTCAATTATTATTAGTATTTAATAATTGGACCCTTCTATAAAGAACTTTTGTATTATAATCTTCGTGACAAGATTTTACTTACACACTTCTCGCTTTCTTTCTCTCTTTCATATACCAGTTGCGACATCGACAACTCATCTGATTTTTCTGCGGTCATTTCAATCATTTGCTTCTTTAGCAACTGAGGAACACGTGAGATTGCGATACTGACCACTTCTAACTAGTAACTTCTTTTCGATGCTATGACGTCATACAACATCACTCGCGCCACTTGCAAATATCCTTCATGTTCTGCTTGTTTCAACTTCAGATCAGCATCTTTCTCTACATTTTCAGACTGTGATTCTATATTTGAATTGATCAAACTTATGCTTGTTTTGTTCTTTGAAATGAGCGATGTTAATAGTAGGACAATGCATATTGCCAAATCTTTTCCTCGTTCTAAATAAGGAACTTTGGAAGTGACTGAACTAGTTTGTGGGTTTTCCTCCAAGTTAGATTTGTCTTGATTTAGATTATGGTGGTTTGAGATAAGAGTCATTCTGCCTGTAAGTTCACGAATAGTCTGTTTTCTGTCTTCAAAACCAACAGTCTCCATATACCACTCCACCATCTACAGACAAACAAACGAATTCGGGTAATTTAAACCTTTTTACAAATTAAAAACCAAAACAGCAGCTGATTACAGCGCAGAATACTCCAATTGAGATAAAAAATTTATTGATTGTCCAGCTCTGACCGTCCCATTATTTCAACAGCATCGTTCCTTCCTTCCTTTATTTTTGCAAGCTTTCCTTCGGGAACACAAATCTTGAAACTTCCTATACTACCAAGTAATCTGATATAATAAGATGTGCACATATTGAACTGCAAATTATATCATAACCATACCGTTGCTAAGGATTCGATCATGCCGTAGTCATTTTCCGCCTCCATCCTTGTTGGCCTCTTGTTCCTATTTCTTTTCCTTTTGTTCCTCGTCAGTGTCTGACATACAGACACCACTAAAGTATTTGGAGACAACCAGCCCATCCCTCCCTGCTTCGTGGGGGAGTGAAATGGGGTTCCACAACTAGCGCCACCGCCACTAATATCCAGATCTGTTTCCAGTAATTGAGTCCATTTCAAATGTACATTTTGAGGATTGATGTCTTTGAGAAGCTTCAGCATAAACTGCACACTTCTGCCTGCGACTTCAACTGAAACACAAAAAAGTTCAGATTCAGTTTACCTTACTTCAAATAAAATCAGGGCGTATAGCCTAAAATGTATAGGTAAAAGAAACATAGCCAACAGACAGTTGAAAAAGAATCAATGAACGCAAGTACACAGAAAAAAATGAACTTGAATTTTCGAATTTCAAATAAGGAAAAATTAAATTCTTAAAGCTCTTTGAATTTCAACACTCATTGAGAATTGGCACTTTTTTGAAACAATTAATCGAACTTGATAAAAACTGCATCAATAGATAATGCTTTTATTCCGCTTGGAGTCATTAAAATCCATTTTCGAAACTCGAAATTGATTACATTTCGTATTTCGTGACCTTTACACTTTTGCTTTTTAATAATAGAGTTTGCCTTCAATTTAACGAAGGAAATGAACTGAACTTCAAAAAAAAATCAAAAGTCAAACCGCGAAAAAGTCATTCTGAGCTGAGCCTAAACAATTTTAACTTTCCCTGAAAAAAAAAACAAAAAATAATCATCAGCACCTATACACGAGTCTGAACTACGTTCATCGTCTCTTATAAAGCACTTCAATGGAGACCTGAGGTCAGAGAAAACCATACGTTTTTTTTAAAAATTACATGAAACAATTCAGATGCAATTAAAATTTGTTTAAATTCAGTGAACATAGGTATATGATTGACATTTTCGCAAAAATTAACCAAATTTGAAAAAATAATGTTGTTAATCCAATTGTCTACTTCATCTATCAGGAACCTAAACAAACGTAGCCAACAGAAAACTAACTTTGAACGAACCCAAGATAACAAAATTAAAATATGTATTTTTTCGAAATTCAACTAATTTTTTCGGCTCTCCGGTTGACGCTGCTCTGAAATACATTTTAAAATAAGACAAGCATACAAATAAAACACAGGGGTATATATATATATATATATATATATATATATATATATATATATATATATATATATATAAATTCTATAGAATTGGCACAGGATGCTCCGACCACAGTAATCATGGAACAGAATTCTTTTTAAATTTTAAAATTGCTACTTTTTATTGGAGATCGCAATGTGAGTTCAATTAACAAATTAATTTTAAAAAAAATTGAAAAAAATTTGAACTTGAAAAAAATCAAAAATCAAACTGCGAAAAATCAATTGTGAGCCTGAACAACTTCTGATAATTTTTCCTATTAAAAAAAACAACAAAAACTACCTAAAGACTGATAACCGGCTGATATGCAAGTAACACAGAAAGTTCCGACCATAAAAAAGACTTTATTTCAAATCGCGTCGTTTTTTGTTCGTTGTGAAATAAGAGCATCTGAACGAGTCTAGAACTTCGATAATAGTAGTAAATTAGGTACTTTTGACTACATATTTTCTTATGGGATCAACAAAAAAGTTTAAGAAAAATTGGAAAAAAACCACGGCTTAACTTGTTGTTCTCATGTTGCCGTACAAATCATGGCCTAAACGAAAACAATCTTAACCACGATAGCCGGCTACTGTGCAAGAAGCACAGCAGGTTCAGACCAAAGTCATTTCAAAAGAAAAATTTTAAAAAATGAAGGAAAAAAATTTATATAAAACAAACGTTTTTGCACGAGAGGCTAAGGAGAACATAAAAAAAGCAGCTTCATGAAGTGAAATAAAAAAGAGAAATCAGCTTCGAATTAGTAAACTTTACTACGTATCGGATTCGAGCCTGCGACCTCCAGATTCGGAGCCTCACACTCTGCCCTCTCGGCCACGAACGCTTAACAATCGTCAAACACTAGTCACAAATAAAGCAGCTACATATGCTAATAAATTGCCAATGCTACGCAGCAAAAGGGGCACCAAACTCAAATATACAAAATTTTGCATGTTATAATTTGGAATATAACAATCTGAAAAAATCCACACGAACTTTGCAATTAAAAGATTGGAAAAGTTAAAGCCACATTCTGTATAAACTACGCATTTCACAAACTTGCGAAATACATTGAATAAGAAAAATTCTGAAATCCAGTTCTTATTAGTGTTGTTTTTTTTTAAACAAATAGCTTTTTTTGGTTCATATGAAGATTTAAAAAGGCATCAACTGTGTTAACTTATTAGTATTGGAATTTCAAAGCACGTACTATTAAAAAGCCGTACGCTGCCACTAAAAAGGGAACCAATATTTGCGACTTAGTTTAGAAAAAAAATAGTCGCACTCTAAAGTTCGTTTGTTTAAATATTTTAAATTACTGTAATTTTATTTCGAGAAAGGGTGATTGAATTAGATTCAAAAATGCAAGTTGAATTAGATTACAACAATGCTAGGAAACGCTGTAATAGCAGACAAAATAAGGTTACAACAGTAGCAAAATATTTGTGAGATATACTCAAAGGGATAGCTGAGCTACTCGCACCACTTGTAAGACACTGAAGAGCTAACAAAAAGGACTTCGAAGGATGTTACCCTTAAAAAATAACTAGAAAATCGAAAAAAAAAGAAATGTTTTTGTCCGAGCATTGAAAATGGGGAGGAACTTTGGATTCGGGTTTGCTTTCATTTTTTTCCACGCAAAAACAGCTACCACAAATAATCGACGAACAAAGTTGAGTAATATATCATATTAAAGCCCCTTCAGTCGTGATTTGAACATTAAAAAATTTCTAACAAAATTTTAGTGTCGAGAAAAACCGGTTTGAAATGTTTGAGCTTTGGTCTGATTTCGAGCTAATTAGTATGATAGTTAGTAATTACAATAGCTCATTTGAGTTTAATTTAAGCCGTGAAAACTTAGTTTAATCTGGTAAAGGTAGTTTTTAGCGCAATTTCGGAAATCAAAAATTTGAAATTTCAAAAAATTTCCGCAAAAAATTTAGATATTTTTTTCAAGTTTTTTTTTCGTTTTTTGAGTCATTTTTCTTCAAAAACTGTTTTCCAGAATTATTTACTATGACTCTCAAATATGCCTAAATTCTTTTTTTTTCGTGCAGATATTTTCATCACAACGCGCAGAAAAAAAACGACACCTATTTGAGAAAACATTTAAGTAATTTTTAAGACTGTGGTCGGAGCAGTCTGTGCTACTTGTACAGTAACTGGCTATCCTTGTTCATGTTTATACTTACTGAAGTTTTTAGAGATAAGTCTAAATGTGTTTATAGTAAGCAGTCGAACAATGGGCCAGTCTTCTCAATTTCCTAAATGATATCGGTAATTTGTAAGAAACAAAATAGTAGGTAAATAAGCCGACGGATTGAAATCCGACAGCCGAAAAACTGAAACTCAATCGATATGTTTCGGCAAATTCTAATCGACAAAAAACGTACTGCCACAATAGTATCCACGAGTGATATATATGTACTGAATATCAGGTGGTATTTAACATTCGGAAACTAAACAGAGAGCCTAATCAACAACCAACATAAAGCAGAAACTTATAATTCGGAAACTAGACAGAGAGCCTAATCAACAACATAAAGCAGAAACTTATAACTTAAAGCAGAAAATCAAAATTTATACATATAATTAGATCTATCGAAAACTTGCCCAGATTATAGAATGCGAAATTGGTCCGGATGAAAATTTACCTAGCGATAACCAAGTCGAAAAAATAAGATTTGAAGCTAATAAAAAGTTAAAGTCCACCTCTCCCTCAAAAAAACCCACGCACACTGAAAACTTTTCAAACGCCGCAATCTGAGGCCACTAAGTCAATATAAAATAGGCCAAAACCAATTAAAACGAAAAAGAAAAAAACATAAAATTAAATTTGAACGAATCGAGTTGGTAAAATTACAACCAACATAAAATGCAAATTTCAACAACGACGGATATTTGAAATTCTAACCTTTTAAAAAATTGGATATGGCTAGAGCATCCTGTTTACTGAAAGCATAAACTTTGCAATAAAATAGGCAACTTTAATTGGAAAAAATTGACTGATCAATGACCATTTTTAAAAACAACATGATGAAAATGATGGTTTGTTACACATTCATGTCGAGGCCCAATTTGCCGTCTGTTCACCAATTTAATTTGAATTGAAATTAAAAAGAATGCAAATGTGAAAACGCAAAAAATATAGCCAACAGACAGTTAGAAAAGAATCAATGAACGCAAAGAAACAAAAAAAACTGACTTAGTTTTTGAAAAAGCGTCAAGTTGCAAACTTCTCAGACAAAATGTACGGCTTTAAAGCTCTTTGAATTCCAAGAACAGTTTATGACACATTTTTTGATAAAATCAACGCAATTTGAGGAAACTCGATCAATATGTAAAATTTTTATTTCGCTGGAAAATCTGATTATTAAATTCCATTTTGGAAATTAAAATTCGATCACGTTTTTTGTGATTTTTACACTTTTGCTGCTCGATAGTGGAGTTTGCCTTCCTTTTAACAAGGAAAAAAAACAAATTTGAGCATGAACGAGTTTTTCCTGAAAAACCAACAAACAAAAATAATCACCAAGAGGTATATAAAAGTCTTCACTACCTTCATCGATTTAAAAAATAAATTGAGCGTGATGAAAATTTAAGACATTCCTGAAAACCGCACGACCTAAGTTAGTGTCGACACTTCGTTTCCTTGTCATTTAAAAAACACCAGTTTATAAATTTTAGGTGTTTTTCTCTGGATAAAACAAGCTATCTTATCGAAAAACTCTTTTCGTAACAAAATTAACTTCTATTCTAGCAAAAATAGATATATTTGGAAGATGAATCAACGAACAGAGAAACTGACAAAACATAGGCCGTTTCGGCATAATAATGACACCATTCCTTGCCAATATTCATTTCTTGTTGCCTCTCTTTCTCTGCTGGCGATTTTGTTTCTTGCTCTTTCCCTGGAATAGGGCCACGTGTCTGGGGTGAACTTGGATGAGGGATGATTTGCGGATAATTTCTGCCGTGGAGTCTGAGGAGAAGATCTGAGTGACTTTTTCCTTGTCAATAGGAAACATCTTCAAAATACTCTCGCAACAGCACTGTTGAAGCTTTCTTGATAGCACTGTAAATAAAACATCAAAATTTGAACATCATATCGGACACAGAGCCAACAGACGATTAAAAACGGATCCATGAAAACCGAAAAAAAAACGACTGCTTAATCAAGAAATGTTTTTTTTTTAATATTTGGCCTGAAAGCTCTAAGATTGACACTTTAATGATAAACAAACCAACCCAATTTGAAAACTCAGCAGGTAATTCTTTAATATTCCGCTGGTAAATGAGAAACTGGATTTCTTTAACTTTTCCCCCTTTTGCAAGGGGAGAAAGATTCGTTACCAGGTACTAAATTCACGTATGCTTAACAATTGAAGTATTTCTGTATAGGGGTGGTACCCTAGGGGGGAAGCCTTAAAAGTAAAATCCATTTTCGACACATAAATACGACTGCATAAAAAATGGTGTTTTTCTTCAGTATATGATGAGACAATGCCGATTGAACTTATTTTGGGCATGTTTTTTGTTTTTAAAATAGTTGGTTTTTCGCCATATATATGTACAGATTTATTATTTCGCACTACATTTTTTTCCTTAGAAAATTCTGGGAGCGCCACTCGTAGTAGAATCTAGTAGCACCCCTATAAGATCTTTAAGCCAATTCTTCTGTCCCCTGTGTATCATTTAAACAGCTACTCTATTAGCTTTATACTGTTACTCGTTTTAATTTACAGAATGGCCATGATTAAAAAATGAAGTTGAGCAATATTTTTTGGTTCATTTAGTCGCACAAAGATACTTTTACCTTGTTCTAACTCTGAGTGATATATTTTCTCACGAGTGACATTGAGTGTTTCGATCACGGCAGGCAATAATACTTCGCCTATCCTCATCTCTCTTCTGATTTCTGCTCCACTCTCAATTTGAGAACTCAGATATGGCAGCGCTATTTCACCTACAACAAAAGTAGATCAATTTTCATTTTCTGCAGAAAGGAATCTTATCAAAAAGTTAATCTGATATCATGATTCTAAATTATTTGAGTATGCTAGGGCTCGTATTAGCTAGCAAACTTGTCTCTTCTGCCGTTTCCTCCATCAAATATAAACACCAACTTTACAAGAAAACCATTGAATTTACAAGATAGTATATGAAGACAAAATATGCTTTTTATTGTTTAGATTATCCACTTGCTAGTTTTTATTACAACTGGACAAAAAAAAACATAACAATGCAAAAATTCCTTGTGTGTGTGCGTGTGTGTGGGTGTCTGTATGGGTTAGAAGAGCCGCTAACTTACCGATGATTCTGATAGACGACTGAGCCAATAACAGGCATTCTTGACACATGCAATACTCTTCTTGTCGATGACATTTAAATGTCGATGACATTGAAAACGACAGCAGAGGTTGCACTGACGTTGAGAATGACGTAAGAGAAGGAAAGACAACTTCTCTCAAGATAACATCCTGTTCTTCCGATGAACATTCCAGAAACAAAAGAGTACATGCTTTCACACAACTGAACATGAACTCAGTCCAGTTTTCATTCTCGCGGGTTACAACTTTGTTTTTACTTGTACAGAGAACATTATCAGTAGCTCCTTCTTTAGTTATATCATCAATAGATTGTTGTAGATTTGAGTCAAATAGCAATTGAGAGGTACTAGAACTTAGAAAGTCAACGTTAAACAGGTACTCCAAGGCCATTTGGTTGACCATTTGGAAAGGAGTGGAATCACAAGTGAAATCTAGTCCCGCGAACATCTGTCTTCGTTTCTTTTTATTCACATCATCTTCAGTTGTTTCGGTTCCATCATCTTCAGTTTGCCATCTTTGACATAGAACGCACTGCATTGCAGACACGAGCACCTTGGATAAAACACACATTCATTTTACAAAAAAATTCATCTGATTTTATCGGAAATTAGCAAAACTGAAATCATTCCTATAAATAAGGCACTTAGCATAATGGTAAGGCGTTCATTTCGAGATCTTCAGATCGTGAAATTGATCCCCTGCCATGGCAATGACCTCTAGCTTCAGGTCTACCACAGCTTGATCTATTTCAGCTGCAAAAGTTCTAGATGCGTGAAAGTACCACGTGAAAGTTCCAGACGCAAAAAAACGACCTTGCGTCGCAAACAAAGAGCGCTTCGCTCAACAAAATACCTCAGTCTGGAATGTGGAGAAATAGGAGAAATGGACTATGCTTAGACAGGCTGAACAACCTTTCATAGATCCTGAGCGAATCGCCGAAACCACAATTATTATTAATATTATCATTTTTAATATTTCGTATTCAATTATTATTAGTATTTAATAATTGGACCCTTCTATAAAGAACTTTTGTATTATAATCTTCGTGACAAGATTTTACTTACACACTTCTCGCTTTCTTTCTCTCTTTCATATACCAGTTGCGACATCGACAACTCATCTGATTTTTCTGCGGTCATTTCAATCATTTGCTTCTTTAGCAACTGAGGAACACGTGAGATTGCGATACTGACCACTTCTAACCAGTAACTTCTTTTCGATGCTATGACGTCATACAACATCACTCGCGCCACTTGCAAATATCCTTCATGTTCTGCTTGTTTCAACTTCAGATCAGCATCTTTCTCTACATTTTCAGACTGTGATTCTATATTTGAATTGATCAAACTTATGCTTGTTTTGTTCTTTGAAATGAGCGATGTTAATAGTAGGACAATGCATATTGCCAAATCTTTTCCTCGTTCTAAATAAGGAACTTTGGAAGTGACTGAACTAGTTTGTGGGTTTTCCTCCAAGTTAGATTTGTCTTGATTTAGATTATGGTGGTTTGAGATAAGAGTCATTCTGCCTGTAAGTTCACGAATAGTCTGTTTTCTGTCTTCAAAACCAACAGTCTCCATATACCACTCCACCATCTACAGACAAACAAACGAATTCGGGTAATTTAAACCTTTTTACAAATTAAAAACCAAAACAGCAGCTGATTACAGCGCAGAATACTCCAATTGAGATAAAAAATTTATTGATTGTCCAGCTCTGACCGTCCCATTATTTCAACAGCATCGTTCCTTCCTTCCTTTATTTTTGCAAGCTTTCCTTCGGGAACACAAATCTTGAAACTTCCTATACTACCAAGTAATCTGATATAATAAGATGTGCACATATTGAACTGCAAATTATATCATAACCATACCGTTGCTAAGGATTCGATCATGCCGTAGTCATTTTCCGCCTCCATCCTTGTTGGCCTCTTGTTCCTATTTCTTTTCCTTTTGTTCCTCGTCAGTGTCTGACATACAGACACCACTAAAGTATTTGGAGACAACCAGCCCATCCCTCCCTGCTTCGTGGGGGAGTGAAATGGGGTTCCACAACTAGCGCCACCGCCACTAATATCCAGATCTGTTTCCAGTAATTGAGTCCATTTCAAATGTACATTTTGAGGATTGATGTCTTTGAGAAGCTTCAGCATAAACTGCACACTTCTGCCTGCGACTTCAACTGAAACACAAAAAAGTTCAGATTCAGTTTACCTTACTTCAAATAAAATCAGGGCGTATAGCCTAAAATGTATAGGTAAAAGAAACATAGCCAACAGACAGTTGAAAAAGAATCAATGAACGCAAGTACACAGAAAAAAATGAACTTGAATTTTCGAATTTCAAATAAGGAAAAATTAAATTCTTAAAGCTCTTTGAATTTCAACACTCATTGAGAATTGGCACTTTTTTGAAACAATTAATCGAACTTGATAAAAACTGCATCAATAGATAATGCTTTTATTCCGCTTGGAGTCATTAAAATCCATTTTCGAAACTCGAAATTGATTACATTTCGTATTTCGTGACCTTTACACTTTTGCTTTTTAATAATAGAGTTTGCCTTCAATTTAACGAAGGAAATGAACTGAACTTCAAAAAAAAATCAAAAGTCAAACCGCGAAAAAGTCATTCTGAGCCTAAACAATTTTAACTTTCCCTGAAAAAAAAAACAAAAAATAATCATCAGCACCTATACACGAGTCTGAACTACGTTCATCGTCTCTTATAAAGCACTTCAATGGAGACCTGAGGTCAGAGAAAACCATACGTTTTTTTTAAAAATTACATGAAACAATTCAGATGCAATTAAAATTTGTTTAAATTCAGTGAACATAGGTATATGATTGACATTTTCGCAAAAATTAACCAAATTTGAAAAAATAATGTTGTTAATCCAATTGTCTACTTCATCTATCAGGAACCTAAACAAACGTAGCCAACAGAAAACTAACTTTGAACGAACCCAAGATAACAAAATTAAAATATATATTTTTTCGAAATTCAACTAATTTTTTCGGCTCTCCGGTTGACGCTGCTCTGAAATACATTTTAAAATAAGACAAGCATACAAATAAAACACAGGGGTATATATATATATATATATATATATATATATATATATATATATATATATATATATATATATATATATAAATTCTATAGAATTGGCACAGGATGCTCCGACCACAGTAATCATGGAACAGAATTCTTTTTAAATTTTAAAATTGCTACTTTTTATTGGAGATCGCAATGTGAGTTCAATTAACAAATTAATTTTTAAAAAAATTGAAAAAAATTTGAACTTGAAAAAAATCAAAAATCAAACTGCGAAAAATCAATTGTGAGCCTGAACAACTTCTGATAATTTTTCCTATTAAAAAAAACAACAAAAACTACCTAAAGACTGATAACCGGCTGATATGCAAGTAACACAGAAAGTTCCGACCATAAAAAAGACTTTATTTCAAATCGCGTCGTTTTTTGTTCGTTGTGAAATAAGAGCATCTGAACGAGTCTAGAACTTCGATAATAGTAGTAAATTAGGTACTTTTGACTACATATTTTCTTATGGGATCAACAAAAAAGTTTAAGAAAAATTGGAAAAAAACCACGGCTTAACTTGTTGTTCTCATGTTGCCGTACAAATCATGGCCTAAACGAAAACAATCTGCGGAATGTGATTCCTAAGCTTGAATGGTTTTGCCGTCATTTTCTATTTTGCTCAAGTTTTTCTTTTCAAATTGTATTTTTATTAGCCGCCGGTCCTGCTCAGTGCAGGACAACCGTGGGGAGGGAGATGTTATCCATTTTGCCTCTGCCGGTCCCACCTTGAGGAGGCGGATGACACTAGGACCCCTTCAACTTAGAACTTCACTACGTTTTTCGTCACCTGTACGCTTTTGCTGTTGGATAGTGTTACCCTTGCTTTTATACAGGCGAAGTTGCACTTCGCATAGACAAGCAAAAATATGACCGATAACGCTACTGGGAAAAACTGAATGAGTAGAACTTGGAGTCTACAAAATTTCTTAAGTGACGCACGCCAATTATGAATCTACATAATTGCTAAGTGGCGCAAGCCAATTATGACGCATAAGCAGTACCAGTCAATTTGCAAAAAAAACCAAATAACATGCCTCAATGTATAGAGCGGACGCATTTCAACTAGTATACGAGGAAGTTCATAAAAACATCCGACCCTGCCCAGGTTTGAACCCTCTTATTTGGTTGTGGGTCTCCTTCCCTACTTCTACGCTATAGATCCATGATACCTTTAAGCTAAAAAAAACTATTTGTAATATAATAGTCCATGGTAAAACCCTTAGCATAGGCTGTACTTAATAGCTGGTTATTGATCAAAATGAACACATTTTGTCGCAAAAATATTTGCGTCGCAACAGTATTTTCGACTTAGGTTGGAAAAAAAGATAGTTCATACTATAACCTAAGCTTTGCTTGTGTAAAGACTACAAGTATAAGCCTATTATAAGTCTTCTAAATTTGCTCAGCTCAAAATAAGATTTAATTTCAAAAACTTCAAACCCGTTTTTCTCGACACTGAGACAACTTTTTGCAGACTTTTTAATGTCGCTCAAATCAAGACTGAAACGCTATTTGATATAGTACTCGACCTATTACGTCAACTATGTGAGGCACCGGATATTGCATGGAAAACAAAAAAAATACAAAGAGTTTCCCCATTTTCAATGGTAGGAGCAAAAAGAGATAAATCACTCCGTTCCTTAACGCTTTCGCTTCGTAACCATCTGGATGCTTTATGAATTTTAGATAATCAATATAACATTGAGAAAATTGAGAAAATTAGGTCACTAAGTAATAGTTTATTCCGCTGGTAAATCTTTAAATTAACACCCATTTTCGAAGTCAATTTTTAAAAAAAATCAAAAAACTGAAAAAAAAATTACCACCTTCACGACGTTCATTGACACTTAATCATAAATAGAGTCTTCAAAGTAGTATACAAGCAGTTAACGTAGGCTCCAAATTCGTTTGGGATAGTGCGTAGCACACCCGTATGGTGCACGTATTCCCCAATCATAAACCTTCTTTTCGAAAAAGGTCTAAAATGACTACAACCATATATAATCCTTTCTTCGAAAGTTGAAACAAAAAATTTGCGCGAGAAAAAAATCAAGAAAAATTAATGCGTTTAGAATTGATGGGAACATTCTGAGCTCCTCTGTAGAAACAGACAGGGCAGGCTAGACTGATTTAAATAATTTCGAGACTGTATGATGATTAAAACCAACTTGATGAACAACTGCTCTCGATAGATGTCGCAGGCGAGAGAGGCTGAGCGGCGATTCCTCCTCCCTCCTGTTTCCTATTTCCACATGCTCCTTTCAACCCGCAGTGAAATTTCATCAGAGTAGTTTCCGCTTCAATTTTATCCCCCAACTCGCGCTTGATGTCACTTTTCAGCTGTGAAAAAAAAATTACAGCTTTACTTAACCCTTCAAAATTAGTTACTACGAATGTAATTATGTAGTAATTAAATAATCAATTTTTAGAAGCTATCATCAATGAAGATGTGACAAGAATGCAATTTCACATGCAAGTTTTTTTTAAAAGTTCTATGAGATAAAATCAACGAAACTTGAAAATTAATATCCTCAAAAAATCATACCGTCATTTGTGACCAAGGACGGGTATCATGGAAGGCCGGCTCCGACTTAATTTCAACCTCATCTACAGCTGATGTTATCGACTGCAACTCAGACCGCCTTCGTGGATTCTTACTACTAATAGATGCCTCTTTACTTTTCTTTTTCAGTGGCGAAATCTTAACTGTGTCATTTTCGTCTCTTTTCTCGTGTAACTCTGTGAGAAATCTTTTACGCGTGCTTCTTTTTGTAGGTGAGGTGCTATCGCATAAAACGGGATGTAAATCTTCATCATCGTCTTCGTTTTGCCTCTCAGTTTGTACAGTCTCAATCTGTTCTATTTGGTCTGAAATATGTCCCGTTGCTATTTCATTTGATTCAAATGCATTATTAAATGCATGATCGCCAGCTTCGCCATCTAAGACTGCATCGCTTTGGATTCCGGTCTTCCAAATGAGGCCTAAATTCACTGCACGTTTTTTATTTGGGGTAGATTCTGATGGTTGTACACAGCTGAGAGTTTCACTTGACTCATCTGCGCCTGTCAACAAATCAAAAGATCCACAAGCTATCATTGAATTCTCATCATCTGACTTCATTTTCGCCTCAAGAATCTTTGCATCATTGCATTTAGGAGCTTCTTTTGAACCCTCGTCGTCCGATATACATAGTTCCAGTTCGCCTTGTTCAGAGTCTGAGTCGGAAAGCGGGACAGTTCCCGGCGCGCGCTCTTCATTCAGTTTTTCTCCAGGAGTTAAGTCTTCCATTAAAGCTCCGACGTTCGGGTTGATGTTTTTACACACAACCTGTTCTGTTTCAACTTGAAAATGTTTGTCTGTAGATCCTGAGAAACTTTGATTTTTGCGTCCTGCTTTCGAGCTCAGCATAACTTCATTGATGACTAAAGAGTCAACCTCAATCTCTTCAACATTTAGCTTTTGAGTTTTTGATTTAACGTCATGTGTACTAAAACTTTTAATTTTTTCACGCCGCTGGTTATCTAAATTGTCCAAATGAACATGGCTAGCGATATCCTGAAGGTCACGCTGCGGCTGCTCATAGAACTTGTCCAAACCTGAACTGCGCACGATACTCAAAATTTCCCTCTTAGCCTCTTTCACTTGGCTCTTAAATCCACTTCTTGGTCGCTTCGACTTCGGTGTTCCCGAACTCTCTTTACCCAAAATGACTAACCTGTTACAACCTTCTTTAATTCCATCGCCAGGTGCATTTGAACACAGAGTAAACTCATTTTGTACGCTGCGGCTTTCGGACGTTGGAGGTTGTTGTGGTTCCTGAGATGGTCCAGGTTCAATTTGGTCTCCTTTCATCAGTTGCCTCCACTTCTTAAGAGGAGTCCCTTCTATCTTCTCAGACGAACTTTGCGGTACATGCTCTTGAGAGACTATCGAAGAACTAGTCGTTTGTATTTTATCTGAATTTAAACTTCTGACTTTGTGAGTTAACTCACTTATAACAATATCATTCTTCCCCGCTATATTAACTGCCGTGTCGAATGAGTTCGGCATTTTGTCTGAATCTTTGTCTAACGTTCTCCCTTCACTCCTATCCAATTCTCGTTTCGCCTTCGTCGTTCCTCCGATTTCTTCCTCCTTACCAATTTCCGACCCATCATCTTCGAATTCTTTCTCGGCTTTGCTCCGCTTTCGTTCAGCAGTAGATCGCGTCTTGGAACGAGTTACTCGACTTCTGCTAGTGCATTTCTTTGCAATATCATAATGACCAACCTCTACATACAGAGGGCTCACAAGTGCTTCAGATGCTTGCTTCGTAATTGCGTCCATGTCACGTGCCATCTTAATGCAGAATCCTTCAACAACCACTTCCAAAGATCCCTCTTTCTTCTCGGCATATTTAGGAACATCAATTTCTGGTTCTTTCTCCTTCATTTTCACGTTCAAATCCTCCTTTGAAGCTTCAGGCTTCTTTTCACTCCGATTTTGAGACCTCGTCAATCTTCCGCGACCTGTATCTTCTTGAAAATCTGACTTCTTATCACATTCAACATTGTCGCCAAGCTCACACTGCATCTCAGAAAGTTCTAATGACAACCCTACACTACATTTTATCATTCCCTCATTCTTTTTATGTACAGTTCTGTCGTTACAACTCATGTTACTCGTGGATTCCTCTGCATTGTGCCCCAGTTCCTCTGCAACTGCTTCCATGAAGTTTAGAGCTTCCAGCTCCGGGTCTTCTATAAATCTTCCAGCAGCACATTTGTCTTTATCGCCCAGTGCCACGCTATGCTCCGTAGGAAAATTCCATGATTCCTGAAGCGCAGCAGTCGAAGTTTCTTCTGACGCTGGAGACAATGGTAGATCCAGACTTATGTCCTCAGCGTCCAAAAGGTCGAAACTGACGTCCGTCCAGAGAAGCATTTCAGCTGAGTCCATCGACAAATTACATTCCAGAGGAGGACCAGATATACTCAGCTGTCGAACGAAGACATCATTAGCTTTAAGAACACTTTCATTTTCTTTCAACAAATCGACGTTAACTTCTCTCATTTGACAAGCGGCCGGGACAGTTTCATTTTCAACCGCATCTGGCTTGATCGGTTCTTGCTCCGCACTAGGAATTGGATTCTCTTTAGTCGATTGTATTAGAACGTTTTCTATTAGAACTATGGGATCGTTCGTACCTAATTTCTTCGAAATAAATTGATCTTCTTGCGTCTTATCATAGTCTAGTGCAGTCGCGCTTTCAGCGCCATGGTTCAAATTTATAAGATCGACTTCTGAATTGTTTCCAGTAATATCCGACTCTTTGGCTTCGATTGATTTGCACGAGTATTCATGTCCTGGAGGTGGCGGAGTACTAATCTGCTTTTGACTGCTGTTACCACGTGGAGGCGTCATGGAGAAGAAGGTTTCAGCTAGTTGTGAAGGACTAACTTCCACATCTGACAGATGAAGAGACACATCACCCCACTCACGTTCTTCAATTCCAATGGTATTTTCATCAGTTTTATTGCCTACAGGCGTATCAACTAAATTGTCAGAAGCTACAATTTCAGACGCTACAACTTCATTGTTGCCAACATTAGTCATCACTTCATCCATCGTCTCATGGTCCAAAGCTGGGAGCTCCGTAATCTCTTTCTCCTTTGAAGCAACTTTATTTGCGGCCATGCTAGACACTAATATGCCTGACTGGAAATCTGGATTATTGCGTTCCTGTTCTATCTTTGGGGAAGTAAATGGCGGTTCCATTGCAGCAGCTTGTTGGTCTTCTTTGTAGTCATCTGGGATCAATTTTGGATGGGAATCTATGTTATCAACAGGATGCGATTCTACAGATACATTTTCTACGCTTATGCTTTGAGTTTCTGGTACCACGTCTCCTTTTTCTGGCGCAAATTCTTTATCATCATTCTTCTCGGTTGCTGTTTGTGTTAGATTTTTTGCAGACATTTCACTTATTGCATCCGATTGGAAGAACGAATCAATACTAGACAAAGGGTCAAGACCATCTGCAGTTTTCGATAAGGGCAAGACCGTGCTTTCTCCACCACTTAATTCAACTCTTTCGCCGCTCACTTTTGCAATCTTTTCAGTGCCATTTACTTCTTCGTCGCTTGATTCTGACAGACGTCGCGCACTAGACGATAATTGTATTACATTCGAATCTTTAGCCTCCAGCACCTTAGTGCTTCGTTCAAAGCTTTCGGTGACTTCAGAATCAAGTCTCGTTACCACCGGTCTATCAATAGTCGAACTCAGTTCCCGTTTTTTGATACATTTAGCATCCTTGACATTCTGTTCTTCCGTCTTGGAATCACGGGTTCCCGAATGCATTATACTATCTTTACTAACTTCACCATTGCCACTATCACTACTACTGCTGCTACTTTCATCGCTATCCTCACTAGATACAACCAGTCGTGATTTGTCGCCCCAACTTGTCCATTTTTCGTTTTTAACACCGCTCTTTGCTCCTTTATTTCTGTCACTTTCTTTTGTTTTACGGCTGACATCATCTGCTTTGCTCTCGTTGTCTCTCTTTTCTAAGCCCAGTTTATCTATAAAAGTATCCTTCCGAGCGTCTTTCGTTTTATTCATTTTCGTCTCTTCCAAAGTTTGATTAATTTGCGTCATTTGTTTTGCGTCTACTGTTTGTCTTCTTTTAGCTACCTTCTCAGCGTGAGCTACTCGAGAACTTCGTCCTGTCAAGTTGAGTTGCTGCCAGTTATCCTTTGATACAGTCATTCCCAGCGATTCCTCTTCGACTGCAGACCTTTTTTGGACAGACTCCGTTTGGAAAGACTTCCCTGACAATTGAATTAATTTTTCAACCGACTCGTCTATGATTTTCTCCTCGTCTCTCTTTTTTTGTTTTTCAACATTAGCCAAGTAGTTATTTTCCATCGGCGGACTTATGTTTTTCACTATTTGAATTGTAGCTTCTTTCAATTGATGTTTAATCGAGTCGCTCGCCATTTGAGCTTTAAGATTTGTTTGTGGCACTGTGGATGATCTAAATGGCGTTTGCTCCTCGTCTCCAAGTAACAATCCTGTCACATCTCTCAAAACACAATCGTCGGATGTCCAGTTGAGTCCACTTGTACCAGCTTTAACTCCCTTGGGTTCACTCTTCTAAAAGCACCCATCAAGAAATCATCAAAAGTATCTATTCGAAGCTAGTTTTGAACACATTTTGGGTTACTGAAAAGGGAAAAGTTACTATACAATTTTTCACTTTTGCTATCAGAGGACGTAGTTTGACACACAGTGAGAAATTACCTTTAGAAATGACGAACGGTCCCTGTCCAGAACATTGCCAATTTCCGTTGTTGTCGTCGAAACTTTCGCGACATCTTGTACATGTGAATCGTTTTCTGCTATAGCTTGTCTTGCGGCCAGTAGCTGTTCTTCAACGAGCTTAGAAAGCTGTTCTGTATCTAACTCATTGTTTTCTTCAGCTACTGTACTAGATGACGGACCTTGACTTTTCTTACTGCCCTTCTTTTTAGGAGCTGGCCTAATAAAAATTGCCATAGAATTCCAATAAAATTACAGATATGAACCTTCCCCGTAAATGCAACCGAAGTAAGACAGCACAATGGTTCCTGATAAGCACGCTCAAAGAACGTATGATTGTTTAAATAAAACAATAATCAAGCTATTTGATTCCTTACTTCTCCGATGACTGTGCATTCCTGTACTCCAGTGCATCTCTCAGTTGCTTCTAAACATGTAAAAAATGAATTCTGAAATTTTATTCAACTTGAATCTATCCCGCTGAGTACAATTCATGTAATGAAAATTAGATTTCAATTTTTTTTGACCTGTAGAAGATCTATAGAGCTTTGCGCAGTGTTGAGTTGGGTTTGGAGTGTACTGATGAATGAATTTTGTCTCTCTGCCTTCAACTGCAAGCTCAGCCTTTCACTTTTCACTTCAGTTAAATCGCGCTTCAAACCCTCGCATTCCGCCTCTACGCTACGAGTCTGAACATGAACCAGCAGTGATTTCTACATGGAAGCAAACTTAGAAGTATTTTGTGGGATCAATTGAGCATTCTCCTCAACCCCCCCCCCCCCCCCCCCGCGTGGGGGAGAGATAGCTCAATAGATACTTGAGGCATGTTTATAATCACTTGAAAATATGTGCCAGTCGGTCATATTTGGAAGTTTGACCTTGAGAAGAGCAGAAAATACTTGATTTTGAAGTGAAATTTAATTTTTCAAAATTTCGAAAGGAACATGTCATGCACGATTTTCTCGCGATAACTGAAAATCAGAAAAAGAAATCAGAACAATTTTAGAACAATTGCGGGGAAGTGGTCAAATAAAAACGAGTGGGAAATTGCTATTCGCAATTTCCATCGTAGTGAACGAGAGTAGAGCTGTCCTACTTGAAATAGAAGACAGAGTATCCCCGAGAGAGCGATTACTAAAGTTGGACCAGAGTGAACCTTCAGCGGAAAGGCGGACAACTGGAGTGTCCCAACGGTCCAAGAGAACTCAAATTCTAGAGCATGAACTTATCCTTGCTGTCCAAACTATAAAACATTAAACTTCTCTTAGTTATTTATTTCTTGAGTTAGTTACTGACTGGATTATTTTCCCAACTCTTGAGAGCGCTGATATGTGAGTACGAATTTAAATTCTAGAGTGTGTTTTATGATTGTTATGTTGAGGTAAGGCGAGTTTTAGGTTGATCCATCTGAAATGGATCAAAGTCACACTGTCTAATAAAAAGTAACCTAACGGATTGTTCCAACCCGGTTTTTAACGGCGTTCATGTATTTTGGGTATCTAGAGACCTAAGTATGGGGACGTTTCTAATTCTAGAGTGGGGGGATATTTTAGTAGTAGCCTTTAAGCTGTAACGGGTCGTAGTCTCA